TCTATTTTTTGTTTACCTATTTGTACACCGGGATTTATTCCCAAATTCAAAGTGAAAAGTCAGGTGTGTCATTTTTCAAGCTTTACCTCAACTTAACCCTCAATGTCTACAGATTTATTCCGTTGTAGATGATGAGAGAGAAACCCGCTTATGATGTAGCATCTTCGCTGGTATAAAGCAAAGCCTAGTAAAACAATTACAAGCGATGTGGCACCATAATAATCCATACATAAAAGACTTGAAAACTGTTTCTATATTGCCACTTTATTTTTACCACATCATGATTAGATAAACGGAAATAAACCATTTACTGTACTGTAGATCACTTTTTAATCAATATTTAGTTGATATGTACGTTAAAATTGAAACAGAGTGGTTACATTTTATTAGRAACAATAAAATGCAACTCAGAGTTGATAATCACATACAACTCAGAGATGCTATTTGGAGACAAGATACWGATCTTTCCCAACTTGGTCAGATGGTAGTACTTTCGTCATCTTTTTCTGGCTCACCGCGATATATTATGCATAGAAAAACTCAGGACGCAATGACATACGTTCGTCATTACAGTCATCCTAATTTATTCATAACTTTTACATGTAATCCTCGATGGAAAAAAATTGCAAATGCATTACCATCTGCACAAATGTTCTACGATCGTCATGATATTAGAGCTTGAATATTTCATTTAAAAGTTAAGACGTAACCTAACCAAAAAACTGTACACAGGCGAAGATGGGTTATTCAGCTATACTATTATATAGGAAACGTGTAGTTTGTACAAAAGATCAAGTACCTATACACTAAATACATGAACTAAATAAATGCAAACTTTTATTTTAAAATTTAGATACACAGTTGTTAACTCCTTATAACAASAAATATATAAATTGTATAGGCAATATAATATATTATACAGGTACGCTTTACAAATGCTCTATACGTAATTATCTGTATGTATTTAGAGTACACATTAGAAGAACCGACAAAATCGGCAGTGAAGCTAGTCTGCATACGYTAGATGAATATATGTCTCATGTCGAAGATTATTATAAACAAAAAGAGCTAAGTGGTGAAGTTAACCAGAAAAGAATTTATTTGGCTACAGACGAGCCAACTTTGTTTGATGTGGCCAAACACAAGTATGTAAAATAAATCTATAATAGTATGCAAACAGAATTCCTTATGCACTGAAGTTGTTCGTTAAATGTTTTAGTTATCCTGAGTATGAAATAATCGGTTCCGATGATATATCTAACACAACGTCTGTAATAAACCAAAAATCTAAACAAGCTTTGATTGGTATACTGGTTGACATACATTTTTTATCCATCAGTGACCACATAGTTTGTACTTTCTCATCACAGGTACTTATTAAATGAATATAGAAATAAATTATATATAAAAATATATTTAAAAGAATCCAGGTTACTTTAGTATCTTCATACTTCGATTG